TGAGGACGTGCCCAGGCGCCCATGGACACAGAAGAGCAAGCCAATGCCAAAGTGAAGGTGGCGGAAGCCGAATTGGGCGTGGCCAAGGCCAAAGTGAAGGTGGCCAAAGCCAAACTGGGCGTGGCTGAAGCCAATGTGGAAGCGGCTACAAATGATAAAGACCGAGCCCGAACCGAATCAAGTGTGGCCAAAGCCGAAGTCAACGTGGCCAAAGCCGAAGTCAACGTGGCCAAAGCCGAAGTCAACGTGGCCAAAGCCAATCTGGGCGTGGCTGAAGCCAAAGTGGAAGCGGCTACAAATGATAGAGACCGAGCCCGAGCCGAATCAAGTGTGGCCAAAGCCGAAGTCAACGTGGCCAAAGCCGAAGTCAACGTGGCCAAAGCCGAAGTCAACGTGGCCAAAGCCGAAGTCAACGTGGCCAAAGCCGAAGTCAACGTGGCCAAAGCCAATCTGGGCGTGGCTGAAGCCAAAGTGGAAGCGGCTACAAATGATAGAGACCGAGCCCGAGCCGAATCAAGTGTGGCCAATGCCAAATTGAAGGTGGCCGAAGCCGAAGTGAACGTGGCCAAAGCCAATCTGGGCGTGGCTGAAGCCAATGTGGAAGCGGCTACAAATGATAAAGACTGAGCCCGAGCCGAATCAAGTGTGGCCAATGCCAAATTGAAGGTGGCCGAAGCCAGACGTGGCCAAAGCCTCTGGGCGTGGCTGAAGCCAATGTGGAAGCGGCTACAAATGATAAAGACTGAGCCCGAGCCGAATCAAGTGTGGCCAATGCCAAATTGAAGGTGGCCGAAGCCAGACTGGGCGTGGCTGAAGCCAAAGTGGAAGCGGCTACAAATGAGAAAGACCAAGCCCGAGCCGAATCAAGTGTGGCCAATGCCAGAGTGAACGTGGCCGAAGCGAAAGTGAACTTGGCCATCTTGTCGTCTCCCGCAGAGCTGAGCGATGTCTCAAAATCTCACTTCGACATCTTGAACAACGAAGTGGCCCATGCTTGCCAGGCGCGTGATAAAGCTGCAAGCAAGATGAACTCTCCCATGGCGGCTGCAGTGAGCCCTCGCCCCCAGCAATCCTCTGGCGTGTTGACGGCGCCAGCAAGTGCGGCCGCATCCGCGGCTTCACGCGACGGGTATCTAGACTACTACAATCAAGTGACCCGGCAGGGTCGATACAAAACAGCCGATGAGACAAAGGCGAGCCCATTCTGTTCGAGGATCACGTCGGAGCAGACAATCATGGCCAAAAGCATTCCAAAGGGCCAGCGCAGTTCGGAAGATGCTCTCCAAAACGCCTGGGTGGATTTTCTCAAGGAGCAGGGAGAGAATATCCCATGTCACGTTTTTCGCAACATTGCCTGCATTTTGGAGCTCAAGCGCAGCACGAAGAAGTTTGCAGCTTCGGCTCTTGGCCAACTCTTTTCTTATTTAAACACATTGTTGAAGCTGTCTCCACGTCGAGACTTTTGCTTTGGCGCGTTGGTGAACTGTTTCGACTTCCACATCATCCGGGCATATCGATGCCAAGAAACAGGCGACACTCACTTCGAGACCATCATGGCGGACGATCTGCAGTCGGGCGCCCCCCTTGTGCGACTCCTGACCATGGAAGCTCATGAGCTTGGCTTCGTGGACTTGCGCGTGACCATTCCTGATAACGATGGACGGCTGATGGATTATCATCCACACTGCTTTATCGGCGAAGGCAGGCACTGCAAGGCTTACAAAGGCTGGTTTCAAGACAAGCCGGCCGTCTTCAAGATTTTCGAGGACGAAGCCGTCATGAAGCAGGAGCGTGACATGCTTAACAAGCTGAAGTTGGCTAAGGTTCGAAACGTGCCTGTCTTCAAGGGTTGCTCGGAAGGGTCCCTCTACTGCTGCGTCGTGACCCCTGTGGGCAAAAAATTTATCACGCCTCCCACAAGAAATGAGCTATCAATGCTTTTGGATGTGCTCAAGGCCGCGCACAAGGCCGGGGTTGTTCATCGTGACCCACTTCCCCGCAACTATTTTCGAGTGGATTCAGCAATCCTGTTCAACGACTGGGGGTCGGCTGAAGAGATTTGCAAAGGCCGGCCAGTTTTGCCCGCTGGCTGGCCTTGTGAGCAAGCAGCTGACATGATTGACGAGGTTCGTGCCACTTGCTGCAGTGAATGTGGGAAGAATTGCAGTGTGCAAGCCCCTTCATGTTCGACTGGGTGTCGTTTGCAGGGTGAGGTGGTGCCCCAGTTCCGACAGGACCTGGAAATGTTTGCAAAGGGCATCTTCTTGCGAATGAGCGGCTGGCCAAATGACCTGCATAGCACTGATTTTTGGGAAAAGGGTCGCTGGGGATTTACCTGGCAACCTGTCTTGAACGCTGCGAGCTTGCTACCCGATTTCATTACCGAAGAAGATTCACCCGAAGATTTTGTGAGAAACCACGAGGGGACATACGAGAACTTCAGAAACACACTCTTGGAGTACTACGATCGCCTGCTCCCTGATGCGCCCTCTTTGCATAATGGCAGAAGGCCCTGAGCTGCTGCTTTAAAATTAATTTTTGTCTCTTCTGTCCTCCAGCAACAATCGAAAGAACATTGCTACCCTGGTCATACACGACGGGTTCACACAACTATTTTGAGCAGGAGAACATAGCAACCTCCATTCATATGTAAAGATGCATGACTTCCGTGCGCCAGTGTACAAGTGTGTGCTTGGAATGCACCAGCACAGGTAGATGGGCCACGGTTTGCTTGGCTCCTTCGGGCTGCTTCACAAACATGTTTGCATTGAGGCGCTACTTCTATATTTCCGTTCCGAGTAACCCGGGTTTGGGGTCGCGCTGGCAAGAGCCAACAAAGCGTGAGGCACAGGGGCAAGAAGATCATGTGCAGTGCACGGCCGTTAGGGCCGCACAACAGCGTCTTACTCGTGCACTTCACTCTTGTCTGCCTGGCCGCCTCGGAGATCGGGATACTGTGTCACGCCTCGCTACCAAGTAAAACCGTTGGGAAGCGCGTTGGCTGGGATGCCATGGGGCTCGGCTACCGCCTCTGGCGACCCCACAGATCCAGGATGACCTGGCCTCTCCTACTTTCAATTGAAGATGCTCATGCCCAAGCAGCAGATAGCGCGTGCGACACTTCCACCTCATGGTAGTAAGACAGAGTAAGTTGATTCCCGAAGACGCCGATGCTTAGAATGGCATTGATTGATAACATGAGAGCACCGCAAGGCCAGGCATCTGAGGGAACGCTAGCGTCAGATCAGGCTCAAACCTGCGTCGGCAACTGGCTCAAAGACTCAAAGACCATCGCCCCTACGCAAATACACGCGCACGCCGTTGACGTGCCACAACAGAAAAAGAAAACAACAAACAACCGAAGAAAGACTAAGAAAAAAGAAGGCTATGTTCCACGCGTACGTTCCATAGCCTCGATGCGACGACTAGGAGCAGATGACGGTATCGTCTGGGAAGCTGATCCAATAGCGAACGCCCTCGGGATTTTTCAGGACAAATCGGAAGGGGTCACGGTGGTGAAGTGCAAGGGGATGGCCCCAGCACAGGTTGTCGCCCTGGAGCTGTGGTGACGAGGCAACGTGGGCACATTGCTTCTGGCCGACGCGATTCACTTCCAGGTCGAGGGTGAGAGACGATGTCTCGTCGTCGCGTGGCGCGAGACAGATGCTTGGGACGTAATCGGGACAAGCGCCGACAACGCGCGTGGCAGGCACCCGGCAGGTAGTAAGGCGTGTACCTCGGCGTCGCGAGTCAGGTGGGCATGTGCATTCACAACCCGTGACTTGCACGGGTCGTGGTCGCAGAGGTTGTGGTGGTGGCTGAGGTCGAGCCCAACTTTGTCGCGGTTACTGGCACCGTGGTGGGTGAACCTGGCGAGGATGCGATGGTAGAGGGCCCTGGGCTTGCTTCTTCAACACTTGAGCGCTTCCTCACAACCAAAACTGGCCTCTACCCGCCGTGGAGCCTGACATACCTCTGCAACCCCAACCAAGACTCGGTAGCCTGACAGCCCGTCAATGTTTTGAACCAACTATTTGATATTTTTACAGTCCATTCCAATGCGCATCAATTCTCATGGATGTATTTGGCCTTGTTTGGCCTCTGCCGTGTCATCCAAGCGCCATGTATGACGGCGCTGAAGAACATGCAATTGGTCCTCCGCTTGATTTTAGATTTGCAACTTGCGAAGCAGCGTCTTCAGGTCATTAAGCGCAAGCGTTTGGAAACTGTCAGGATCCAGGCGCCACCCAATACCAAAAAGAACGGCCACCGAGGCATAGCAGCGCTCCTTCTGCTCGGTCAGGATTCGAGCTTGAACTAGAACCATACAGGACTGCTGTGAGTGGCGTGAGGTGACGGCACAGTTAAAACTTGGTGTTCTTACCATCAACCCACAGAGTTTGGTATGAGCTGGGTCGACGGCAGGCACGAAGCATCCTGGAAAGCAGCTAATGCCGGAACGCGTACAAACTAGATGTGAGGCAACTCCCTCGCACCCGCAAGACAAAAGAACGGACGATACCACTTTGGCAACGCTGCTTACATTAGGGATTGCCCAACCCGTCTTTAACAGAAATCCAAGTGGACTCTCTCCGCACTGAAAAGTCAATTCCCACATGAGCAATTCCATAGCAAAAAGTTTGAAAGACAAATGAGATGCAACAAGTTCACAGGTGTGCCGGTCAGAAAAGACACAGGGCAAACACGCAAGCCCAAAAAGGGAAAAACACACCGCATTGAGCGCGTCAACATCCGCCATGCATCCAACTGATTCTGTAGCTCTGGCCGCGCTGCATCTGAAACGCGCAGAGTCTCAATGGCTCGTTTGAGCTGTTCTCGCGCACCCTGTGCGAAGCGTTGAGCTCCGGCTGCTTCACGCCGTTGACGATTAAGCAGAGGAGTTATTTGTCGGCGAGTGAGCCAACCCCGTGCCACGCGCTGCAACAATGTGGCAGCCTTGACGGTCTTGATCCAGCTTTGTTGATGTTGGTAAGCAACCCGTGCGCAACGACCACGCCACCACCGTTGGAGGCAAAGAGCGGCGTTATGCATCAGCTAAAGTGATTCATCCGCAAAGAATCGAGAATTAAGACACGCGTAGCAAAGCAGGCAGCCCCCCCCCGCCCCCCCCCCATAGCACGATAAACGAAAAGTTTGGGTCATTGCCACGCGCCTCGTTCAAAAAGCACTGCGCCTCTTCGCCCGTCAAGCCCCTACATGATGTGGGCGCACGGTTGAGTTAACGGGCCAAATTTTGCGTTGGGCGAGGTCTGGGTAGGTGAGGAGGGGCAGTGCCTGCACCGTGCTCCAGGAGTGTCGTCACAATACTTTCATCCAGATGACAGCAAGCCACATGAAGGGCTGTCGAGTGGTCCTATACATCCGTCGTGAAGGGGCAACATTTGAGCGCAAGAGGTGCAGAGACATCAGATTGAAGCAGTGATTTCTTTGCACAAGTCGATGGGGTAATGAAGTCAGCGTGCAGCGCAATCTACATTAGACGGCATGCATAGGATGCAGAGGGAAATACTGACATTGTCCTTAGCTTCAGCATCAGCGCCGTGCTCCATCAGCATCTCCACCACCCTTAGATGGCCGGTCTTGCAAGCCAAGTGCAATGGTGTCTTACCATACTGTAAGTTGGTTTACAGCCATCGCGACCATCATACACGCAGATTATCATTATGTGTCCCACATTATCATGATGCGCCGTTTATATACCGGCATTACATGTAAAATCATAAGACAAAGCAGGAGGAAGCGATAAACAGGGGAAAACAGGAAGTACTGACGATGCTCTGAGCGTTAGCATCAACCCCGCGCTTCAGCAGCATCTCTACCAGCTCCACTTCAGCATGCTCGGTGATGCACGCATTATGCAGTGGCGTCCGGCCAACCTGTGAGGGGATGAATCGCAAACAACATCATCACACGTACCGTCGCAGTATCGTGTCCGACAGGATAATGATGAGCTGTTTGTATACCAGAGTTATTACAGCGGTCATTATCAAAGAGCGGCAATTGGGAATGGTTGGAAGATACTGACGTAACCTCGGGCTTTTGCATCAGCGCCGTGCTTCAGAAGCAACTTGGCCACCTCCACTTGGCCCTCTTGGCAGGCACCGTGCAGTAATGTGTTGCCATTCTGCGGGTTAATTCAGCGCCACCGCCATTGAGTATAAGCGCAGACAGGGCCAGGCGTCCGACAATATCATCATGAACATTTCCGGTATTGCTGACACGTGTCAAGCAGCACATGCAGGCCAAACGGAAATGAGATGAAGCGAGGGAAGGAGATACTGACATAGCCCTTGCTTGTAGCATCAGCGCCGTGCTCCAACAACATCTTCACCACTTTCACGTGGCCACGTTCGCAAGCATCTTGCAGTGGTGTATCGCCATGCTGTCAGTTGGTACATCACCATTCACACCACATGTGCAGGTGCAGCAGCAACATACGGCCCGCAGTATCATGAGACACTGGAAGGTGTGTCAGCAGGAGAGCATGCAGACAAAAACGGAAAGAAAGGGCAAAATCAAACGATAGAAGGGGGAGCAATGGAGACGAAAGGAGGTACGGACGCTATCTTTGACTTGAGTATCCACGTTTTGCTTCAACAACATCTGCACCACCGGCACATGGCCATGATAGCAGGCCTTGTGCAGCGGTGTATAATTATTATGTTGGTTGACTCGCCCCATCACGTGCAGATGCGCCATTGCATTGCCATGTACCATCACGATATCATTATCAGCAGAGACCAGTGGGTATATCAGCAGCAGCACCTGCAGACAAAAGACAGAAGAGAGACGAGGAAACGGCTAACAACATAAGGACGCGTGAAACAAGTGGATGCTAACCTGGTCCTTGGTTTCGGCATCAGCGCCATGTTCCAAAAGCATTTGTACCATCTTCACGCGGCCGTGTTCGCAGGCCCAGAGCAGTGGTGTCCAGCCAAGCTGTAACGTAGTTCACCCCATCACGTATAGGCGCAACATCATCATATGTCCGACAGTAGCATGTTTATGAGCTCTTCGTAATAGGGCGCACCAGCAGCAATTGCCGATCAAAAGAGCAAAGACGAGGAAACGCCTAACAACGGAAGAAAAAGATTAAAGGGGACGGGAAAGTTGGGTACGGACCCCGTCCCGGTCTTCAATATCAGCGCCGTGCTCCAACAGCATCTTCGCGACCTTTACATAACCGTATTGGCAGGCCCGATGCAGTATTATGCTGTAATTCTGTGGTAGGTTCGCCCCCATGTACAGGCACAGCATCCAGATGTTCCACAGTATTATTAGAAGAGCAATAATATTTATACACTAGTGGGTTTTCTCGCAGCACGCTCAGACCAAAGGGAAGAAAATGGATGGAGATCAAAATCAAAAAGCAGCTATGCGCGGAAAGGGGCAGTGCTAACAATGTCAATGGCTCCAGCATCAGCGCTGTGCTCCAACAGCCTTTCCATCACTTGAAGATAGCCGTGATCATAGGCCAAGTACAGTGGTGTACAGCCATTCTGTGAGTTGATGCGTCCCATCATGCGTAGGTGCAGCGTCAGCGTCAGCAGGCAGCCGAGTGGACAGGAGAGAGAAGAACAGGGAACTGACGTTGTCTTGAGCTTCAACATTAGCGCCGCGCTCTAACAACATCTCCACCACCTCCTCATGATTGTTACTGCAGGCATGGTGCAGTGGTGTCTTGCAATCCTGTCAGTTGATTTGCCACCAGCATGACGATCACGCACAGGTGCAGCAGCACCATGTGTCCCACAGCATCGTGACAAACCATTCGCAAACCAAACATGGTTGTATTAACAGCACATGCAGACTCAGAAAGGGAAGAGAGAGGAAGTTGACAACACCCAAAAGCAACCAGCAGACAGGGGCGGGAGGCACGAACGTGGTTCTTGGCTTCAGTGTCAACGCCGTGCTTCAACAACATCTCCATCACCTCAACATAACCGTCATGACAGGCCAAGTGCAGTGGCGTATCGCCCCGCTGTGGGTAAATGCGTGACCGTTTTGCACCAGTTCAGCATCACCATGCGTCCCACAGTATGATCATGAGATATCGTATCCCAATAGCGCAGACTAAAAGCTGGAGATCGAGGAAGCATCAGGATGTAGTAATAGGAGAAGGCGCAGGGGCCACCAACGTGGTCCTTGGCTTCAGTGTCAACGCCGTGCTTCAACAGCATCTCCATCACCTCAACATAACCGTCATGACAGGCCAAGTGCAGTGGCGTATCGCCCCACTGCGCGTGAATGCGTTACCATTTTGCACCAGTTCAGCATCACCATGTGTCCCCAGTATTATCATGAGATATTGTATCCCAATAGCGCAGATCAAAATTGGAGATCGAGGAAGCATCAAGATGTAGCAATAGGAGAAGGAGCAGGGGTCACTAACGTGGTTCTTGGCTTCAGCATCAACGCCGTGCTTCAACAGCATCTCCATCGCCTTCATACAACCACCATTGTAGGCATGGTGCAGTGGTGTATCGCCCCACTGTGGGTTGGTTCATCACCATTGTGAGCAGGTGGTGCATCCATACGTTCCAGTAACATAATGAGCAATTATGGCGATGCAGACCTCGACACACATGCACACACACATGAGCGTGCGCATAAAGTGATCACTACACATGAGAAATAGTGGACCCAAAGGAAGGAACTGACGTGGTTCTTGGCTTCAGCATCAACGCCGTGCTTCAACAGCATCTCCACAACCTCCACATGACCGCCAGTGCAAGCATGGTGCAGTGGTGTATTGCCGCACTGTGGGTTGATCCGCAATATTGAAATGAGCTTGAGCTATCATATACCAATGGTGTACTGGCAACGCAAGCCGGCAAAATGGACGAAGAGAGCGGGTCGTATCGAACAACAGACATCAACGAGACCCAGAGAGGTACTGACGTAGTCTTTGGCTGTGACATCAACGCGGAGCTTCGACAGTAATTTTATCACATCCACATGACCGTTTCCACAGGCACCGTGCAGTGGTGACTCGCCACTCTGTGGGTTGATGCATCACCGAGGGACATACAGGTAGAGCATCACCACGCGTCCCATTACCATTCACCATAACGCCTTGTTAGCAAGAAAGATTCGGCAACATAACAAAAACTCGATACACACAGCAGTTTTGTAAATGGCAGCGAATTGCAACCGTTTTTGGTTCCAAGTGCTCACGAGCAGCAGCGCCTCATTTGGATTTGACGATCGACACGCATTCAACAGCTGCCATCCATCAGCGAAATCCATGGTTGGGTCTCTAATACCATCATCAGTGAAGAATGCAAATATTTTGTCCTTTCAAGACTGGCGTGCACGTTCACAACGGCAGCCAGCCATTAGCTCTTGCTTTCTGCCTTGCAAGGAGCAATGACCTTACCTCTGACTGCTGTTGCCTTCAGATGAACGAGTATTTGCTCAATGCAACTCGTCGACTCCGAAATGAGATCAGCGGCCATCACGCTCACCGAAAAAGAAAATGGCAGCGTCCTCGATGCCCCTCGACCCAACCTTTGGCGTCGCTGCAATGCACGGACTAGGAATCCACCAGAACACTAGCTAGATTAAGACCACACATAAATTGTCAACATGCAATCAAGAACTCTCAAACGCTAACAGCGGAACGAGGCAGATTCATACAAGCATCAAAGCAAATCACATTACACATGTTACAAAAACAGATTTCTTTTGTCAACACAGACAACACGAGCACATGGGCACGCGAGCATGCGAGCAAGAAATCACAGAAGCGATTCGATGGTCGTACGGTCGTGGAGCTCCAGAGTTACTGTCAAACAAGCAAAACGTTCTACGAGGTTGCTTGTGGTTTTCAGCTGCTCATCCCCAGATCTCACCACCGCCACTTCGCGCACGGCCCGCCTTTGGTCGTTGGGGTTAGAGATAGCTATTATCATGGCATGGGATCATCTCACGCGGCCCAGCGGGGCTCAAGCGGCAGCGCCAACCTCCAAAGGCATCATAACCTCCCACGATCGCGCACAAGGTGCTATTGATGTGTCCCAGCTGACGCGTGTGCGTCCAAGCAGCGAGCACCTATAGCCCCATTTGAAGCAAGGGAAAGTTAAAACTCAAGCCACACCAAAACAACGCATGGCTGGTCAAGCTGAAATGACTGTGCCTACCTCCAACCGGCATTAGATGTCTAAAACATTGTGCACAAGGTTCCTTTCATGTGTGTTTGGCAGCACAATTGCGTCTGCGCAGCGTGTAAACATTCATACCCGAAAAGCTCATCAGTCAAGCGCCTTCATGTGCTTACAAATCGCCGTGGTTGTGTTTTCGACGGTATGCCAGCGGGCGAATGACCTATATCTACTTGCATCCAAGTATCTCATCAGACAAGAACCCACACAGCTACACTCGCCAAAGGCACACGACGCAAACGCCCGACCCGGCTCAAGCGGCGGTGCCTACCTCAACAGGCCCTCAAACACACTTCAAACACCGTCTCAATCAGTTTTGACGCGTCCTTCATACCGTACGCGCTTTCGAGCACCCTGAGTCAAGTTTTGCCTGGACAAATTCCGCCCTGAGCACAAGCCTGTAACAATAAGCCAAATAGGCATTTGAAACGGCAGTACCTCCCGTGTCACGGCTGGAGCACAGGCAAACCCCACGAGTCAAACATAACAAAATTCTTTTCATCCTTAAACATTGCTTTCGTCCACGTCCGCTTGAGCCTTGTCTCGCTATCACCGAGGCACGCGTGTGGTCAGCCCTGAAGTGCAAAACATGCCAAATGTATAGCAAGCAAAGGTGACTAACGGTAGCGCGCCTGTACATAAGCTTTCAGCCTTTAATTGTCCTGGTCACAAGAGCGCATGGGCGCAGTGTCCACGGATGCGAGCCATCGGACGGGCCTGACCGCAGCTGCTCCGTAGTTCTGGCCTGTCAATAAGCTTTTGGCCAAAGCGTTCTCGCGAATGGGTGACGGCGTCATGGGGCCTCACTCACCGTCAGCATGGCTTGCATTCAGCTCATAAGACCCCACACGTTGTTCCCGTTGCGTCAGGGCCGTTCCATCATGTCTGTGCTTGAGGATCGGGGCATGACTGCTTTGGCTCCAACGAGGCAAAGCATGCGGCAGGAAGCAAAACACTGGACTTAGAGTATGGTTGCCACCGAGGCACGCCTCGGCATCGAAACGCCGCCAACTTGCTCAAGTTTGCTCCAACACCACTTTGGCATGTCATAGACGGTGTGGCGAGAGCTTCAGCGCCGATCACGCCTCGATCCCGTGCAGCGCGGTGCTCGAACGAACCAAAAAAAAAATAAGGACAGTCCGCACCAGTCCATCATCTTGCAATCTTTTTTTTTTTTTTTTTTGGCCCCACCAGCGCATGATCAGGTGCCAAGAGAGACACAAAGAGCCACAGGGCAAAACAGAGACGAGGTGGCTTGTACGGACAGAATCATCTGGATGCTGGTGGTCATGACAGCATAGATCCTACATTTTGATGGTGTGAAAATTCGTCGTTTCAAACGTACCAATCTGTGCCTATCTTGCTCACGGACACGGACCAAATATGTCAATGTTTGTCTGAACAGATCCTCCACATGAAAACAACCCCCCCCAAAAAAATAACATGTCAAAAACATCATGTTTGGTCGATTGCTCCGGGGCCCGCTCAGGGCAAAGGGAACGCCCAAATGTCTCAGTGCACAAAAGAAGCAAAGGGGTCCCCACTCGCCCCTCCGCTATCGACCTGCAACCTGGGCCATTTTTTTGCCGGGCCGATCGAGCAAGCAGTGCGCTCAGGCGCACGTGCCGACCTTGAGCACCTGTTGGCTCTGCATGCAAGACACCTGCAGCCATGCTGCATCGATATATTCTGCTTATCGTGGCCATGGTGGTGATCATGGGCTCGTTTGGATCTGCCCGCCTTGCCAGAACCACCAACATGATTTCCACCATCACGGCAAACACCGTCAACCGACTACGTCGCCAGTGTGACTGCACCGAGGCCGACCTCTTCTCTCACAACAAGCAGATTGCTGCCTGCCGTGAGGCCATCGTGATTGACGTTATCGACTCCCTCATCAACGAACTATTCGACGATCGCATCAGCCGGGTATGGCCCTTGTAGAAACACCCTCCTCATCCTACCCGTCCTTCAACATCCTAGTCTCCTGAGCCATCTTTTTTAACCCCCCCCATGCCTTTGACGATAGCTTGAACGCATCGCCTTTGCTGTCACCTACGTTGGAGATATTTATTGCAATCTGACCTCCGTGCCCGAGGGTGTAACCCATGTGCAAGGCAGCCTCAATTTATCCCACTGCACCTCAATGTCGTCGTCCGACGCACAGAAGCTCGGGAATCTGGTGGAGATCACTGGAGATGCCCTCATCGTTGTTAGCTCTCCAGAAACCTGTTTTTCTCAGCAATGAGGCGCCATAGTCGTGCATTTACCACCCGCTTGCTGTACCCGCACCTATGCGGTTGCTCTAGGCCTGGCCGCTGGCAAACCTGAGTTTTATGGGCAATCTCTCCGTTATAGGTGGCAATTTACTATTGCAGGTAAAGCCCTTGCTCTGTTGGATGGAAGGTGAAGAGGGTGGGTGCTTTATTGTGTGCTCCCTGGACTGGTGCACGTGGCACTATAGGACAATGACGTGCTGACCAATCTCGCCGGCCTCCAAAATCTATTTTCGATTGGCGGAGACCTCAGCCTCCAGGTGAGCTTCTTGCTTGGCGATGCTCGACCGTTTGCATGTAATGCTTTTCATGCTGTAAATCTGAAACGCAAGGTGCTTGAGGGTGGGAAATCCACAGCTCTTGCTGTGTCAAGGCCAAATGTCAGTGCTTTGAGGTGTCGCAAGGGTGACTTTCTTGTTGGGAAACTTTTTGCTTGCGCGCGCATGACGCGAAACAATCTGATAGAATAACGACGCTCTGGTCAATCTCACTGGGTTGAAGAGCCTGGCTTCGATTGGTGGGAAGCTCACGCTTGTGGTACGCTTCTGTCAAACCAATGCTTGGCAGCTTCTGTTGGGGTACCTTCATACCTGTGCCATATCTTTTGTGTTGTTGAAAAGAGCGAGATATGTTTCGTGTGGTCTGAGTGCTCAAGTGGATACAGCTTCAGCGATTTTCTCATTGGTGCTTGTGGATGCGGCTAAAAGAACAACACCGGTCTGTCCACTTTGGCTGGGTTGGATGGCTTGACACTTGTTGCAAACACTTTTACAATCGAGGTGAGCTCGATCCCCGGACTTTGGTGCCTTGCGGGCGCAAGAATGACCACTGCCAGCCTCGTAAGCCAAAGGAAGTGTGGCTCTCCGTAAACCTGAAAGATCTGGCTACTGAACCCTTGCCTTTTCATGTTCTTCCGTGGCGTAGGACAACAGTGCTCTGGTTAGTCTTGCCGCGCTCAAAAATTTGACGCAAGCGACTTATATTCTCGTTACGGTGAGTATTTCGTTGCAAGCATTTCTTTCCATAGTGCTTTCTTTTTTTTTTTTTTTTCGAAGGAAGCGGGCCAGGCAATACCCAAAAAAAAATGGCGGGGGCACCATGCAGATGATCCTTTTTGAAGAGCCTCATCCGTTTTGTCATTTGCTGCGTCCGTGGCTCATTCATGTGGCTCTTTAGAACAACGACGCGTTGACCAGTCTTGTTGGGTTTGATAGTCTGACGTCATTGGATCTTCTCCAAATCGAGGTCGGGCAACGAAGGGATCAGAACCATCTGTGGTCGGCGCTTGCGTCCGTATGCCTTTGATTGTTTGGTCTTTTGAAAGCAACGCTTGTGAAGCAGCCGTCATGAATGCCAAAGGCCCGAGTAAGCACGTCGACGCGAGTCTTATCATCGTTGTTCTTTCATGCGGCTGAACGTGGATAGGAGAACGACGCACTGTCTAGCCTCGCCGGCTTGGAGAGTCTCTCGAGCACGGGCAGCCTAAACATATGGGTCAGCACGGCGCACATATCCATGCCGAGCGATAAGAACGGTTGCGCCTCTGTTGTGCCTGAGTGATTTGGAACATCTTTGTAACAGGTCTGCCCTCGGTGTACGCTGCTGCATCTGATGTGGTCTCGTAGGCAAACGACGCACTGACTAGCTTCACCAGTTTGCGTAACCTGACTGCCGTAGAAGGCTACTTATCCATCCACGTGAGTCCCAACGAACCAGCAAAGGTTATTCAAAGCATGGTTTTGTCTTTGTGCCAAGTATGACAACCTTTGGGTCTTTTCCCCGCCTGTCTGCTTATAGAACAACGACGCGCTGAGCAGCCTGCGTGGGTTGGATACCCTCACAGAAATTGGCTTTCTTAGAATTGAGGTAAGGGTAAGACCAACACCAGAGCGACGCCTGAGCGACGTTGTCATTTGAATCGCAATTGGTGAAGGTGTGGAGAAGCACCGTACCTCTTTCTCAAGGGTATCTACGTGATAAACCTGATGGACATCCTCGCAAACATCGAACGCGCCTAAACACCCGCATGTAGCACCATGCTCTGCTGGCAAACCTGTCCGGTCTGGACCAGCTGACATCGATTAAATCAAGACTCGTTATTGACGTAAGGCTCATGTTGGTACCGCTGTGCTTCTGTTCTTGTGATCATTTTCTGCGCTATTGAAAATGTCTGTTGGGTAGCAATCGCTCCGTTGGTACTTGAGTAGTTGAGCGGCTGGTTGAAAAAAACCAGTTTTTCCTGGGGTACACGCCTTCTCACCATTGTATCTTGGGCGCGGTATACCGTCCTTCCAGAATAACACCGCACTGACCAGCTTGGCCGGCTTGGACAGTCTAACAACAGTGTCTGACCTCATCATTACAGTGAGCTCTGCTCGCGCATCTTCCTTGCAGTCGTTTGCTTTTGGTTGCATGCTTCAAGAACTATATAAAAGAAGAGGAATAAGCCCAGGTCGCACGATGGGCGGGTCACGACATGTCTCATTGCTGAGGTTGATCTGACATGCCACGGTTGTATAGCGAAACAGTGCATTGACTACTCTTGCCGGATTGAATAACCTGGCAGTGATTAATGGCTACTTTTCTCTCGAGGTGAGCCGCCCCTGAAGGAATGTGCATCTGCCATCAGGTGCAGATGAATGTGTGGAACGGCACAGACCAACGGCCGTTCCACACTCATGACGGAGCAAAGTTTGAGCAACAACACAAGTCCTTCGTGGGAGACTGGGACAACGCGATGAGACCTTGATTGTCGTTTTCTAAATCGGCTTGACGTTGGGTTGTAGAATAACAACGCACTTCTCAGTCTTGCCGGTTTGGACAAGTTGACAGCCACTTCCAGCTATGTTTCTATCAAGGTCAGTTCTTGAAAGACAATGTATCTAATCCTGGGATTGCTCTTGGTTATCTTGCAGGCCAGAAAGAGTATGTTTGTAAAGGAACTAACAAGCGTGATATGTAAACCAATACCGCATTCGTGTGTTGGTGCAAATGGTATTATGGATGCTTCGTCGTTGCTGTGAATGCGGCCTGGTAGTTTCACGAAAAGCTGGCCAATCTTACCGGTCTGGACCATTTGACACACGTTGGCGGCACCTTTAGCATCGCTGTAAGTGTGCCTCAAGCAAGAAGCGTGCCTTGTGATCGCTCAAACGGGATGTCTTGGCCCAAGTCCTCAGTTGGATTGGAATGCTTTTTCTTTTTTTCTTTTTGTTTTATTTTTTTTTCTTATTTTTTTTTCTTTTTTTTTTTTTGCGCACGGCTCGACTTGGCTTTGTAGAATAATGCCGCACTTGCAAGCGTCGCCGGATTGAGCAGCCTCGCAGTCATTGATGGTGGGCTATCCATTGAAGTGAGTTCCGGCCCAGGGGATCATTAACTTGTGTTTTCCACTTTATGTGTTGCTCTGTAATACGCGTCCTCTGTTTTTTGGTATGGAGTGTCGGGGGACGTGTGTGGATCGTGACTTTGAGGACCATCTGTTTGCGGGATGGCTTATTGTCACGAGCATTTGAGCATTTGATTTACCATACTGGGGCGGTTTGGCGTGACCTCAAAGTACAATGATGCCTTGACGAGCTTTGCTGGTCTACACGGCCTGACTTCAATAAATGGCAACCTTAAAGTTGAAGTAAGTGCAGTACTACCGCTACTTTCGTTTGCTTGGGGAGTACAATGATATGACAGTACTAGTTGAAGTGTGCCGCAAATTGGTGGTGCCCTGGTGCAAGGCCTGGCTGTTTAAATAGATCACGATGCTAAACCTCAATCTCCTTTCTTTTTGATGTGGCTTGGCACATTTAGTTCAATGACGGTTTGACCAGTATCATTGGGTTTGACAGTTTGACATCACTGAACAACCTCAGGATTTTCGTACGGCCCCTTGTTCTCCTTCCTGTCTTCTGACTTGGCTTTGGAGTGACTGGTAAAACCGATGCCCTGCGGTCCATAGGACAACATTGCCCTGACTAGTCTCGTCGGGTTTGACAACGTGACTGTGATCTATGGCTACTTTCAGCTGCAAGTTAGTTTTCAACGTATCCGTTTGATTGGATGAGCTTATCTGTGTGAGTCTGAAATGTGTCAGCGGATAATGCCCAAAGACCTTCTGATGACTGTGCATGTGTGCTTTTATCTAAACCCACAGGAAAACAACGCTCTGCCGAATCTGGTCGGTTTGGACAGCTTGGTGTCGATCACCGGCTACGTCATGATTGCGGTGAGCGTTCGCGGCATCAAGCCTTGTTGTTTTTCATATAACGAACAGCTCCTGAGGCACGACAGTTTCTCTGTTTGGATCTGGATGATCCGATGCACAAGGCAGCGCTTACGAACTCTGGGGCCCTTTTCTGATGGGGCTTCTTGGGATTCTGTAGGACAACGACGCCCTCACCAGCCTCGTTGGTTTAAATAATTTGACGTCTGTCGGTAGCTATCTCAAGATCTCGGTGAGCTCTTTGATACAAATGCTTGCTAGAATTTTCAATGGCATAAAACCGCGTCTTGTCCCGTCCCCCCCCGAAAAAAAAAAATCGCCCCTCAGCATAATAATGTTATTATTATGGAAGCATTCGGTACTTCTCGTTTTAGCTTTAACATTCATGTTTGTCTCCACAGGGGCATCCAAAACTGACCAGCGTTGCCAACTTGGGCAACCTTGCCACGGTCACAGGCATGGTCCGTGTTTGTAACAACGATATCTTGGACTTGGACGATGCTGAAGCCGATCTTGATGGTTTGGGGAAGTGCCAAGTTTTTTCACCCAATAATTCTTGTCCAAAATGCTAAACAGTTGTTCAATTTCACCCCATTATTCTTGTCCAAAATTGTTAAAACCAATTCGCGCGCCTCAAATTTCAATTGAGGGAGCGGTGTCTCCTTAGAACACAGGACCGATATTGGACGCCAAGGCGCCTCACCCTGCTCTTGTGAGGTTGATATTTGGGCTAAAGAGCCGTTTCACTATGTAAAACAGCCAAATCAGCTGCGGTCTATTGGCATCACAAGTTGTAAAAAAGAAAAGAAAAAAATGAGCCGAGTAGGAAGACACGGGAAACGATGAGCAAAAAAGGGTTCGTCCACACGGCACAAACCCAGGCGGTGCTTTGCTGTGATGAAAGCAAGCCAAGTAATTGGGCGAAAGAAGGTCGTGCTTCTGGCGCTGTTTGAAAGCAGGCTGCAGCCATGCTGTGACACATACAAAGAAATTTGTGGAATTGCCTCAAGAAACGCAACGGGAATAGCAAGAGGGAACGCACCGTTGTGCAATCAATGGTGCTCCCGGAGGAAGCGGGAGCGTGGCGCCCGCTTTGAGCTCTTGAATAATGGCAGGAAGGCTCAAGCCCTGCCAGGGAGTCGCGCCGGCAGTAACCAACTCCCACGCCAAAACACCAAAAGCCCAGACATCAGAGTGCTCGGAATATCGCTGCGCCATTAAGCACTCAAGTGCCATCCATCTGTGTGCAAGTGACGAAGATGAACAAAACATCATGGCACATGAGCACACTGCGAGGCTGTTGACAGGGTTCGCGTGAGTTGAGCACATCGTACCGGAAGGGCATCTCGCTATCTGCTACACTCCTGTAATATTTTGAGCTTGGCATGACTCGAGACACTATCAAGCAAAAAGGATGAGGCTTGCACAACTAGAAAGCAAAGTTTTGAAGCACCATGATGGGACACTCGCAGCCCTTTCAGTGAAGGTACAATCTGCAACTTACAGCCGAAATCACCCAGCTTACAGGCAAAAGCTGGGCCAGCCGCCATGACAAGAACATTGCGCGCTGCAACATCGCGATGCACAATCTCAAGCTTGGCCAGGCATGCCAGGGCAGTGGCTGTTTGGTACAAGGCTTGATGCAGTTGTGCCTCACTCAACGGATGTCTTTGCACAAAGTCGCGGAGGTTGCCGTGCGGTGCCCACTCCAGCACCGCTGATAGAGTCGACTGTTCCGCCCTAAACAAAAGGTGTTGACATTCCGCCAAAGCCGCCAATCAACTGGAACGAGAGACCATGCAGCCACCCATGCAACAATCTGGTTATAAAAGTAGGAAACAGGACGCACGTTCTGAGCAGCACACCATGAAGGCCAATGATGTTGGGCTGATTGCAAAGGCTGTGCAAAAGCAAGATTTCACGCAACCACGCCGAGAGCTATTAACCGCATTGGCACCAGTCTCATGCACACAAATGAGACCGGCGTGCAGTCTTTTTTTGAGGACACGGCTGCCCTCACAATCACATGGCGCGACTGACCATCGTTTTGTCGCCATCGCATTCTTTGATGGCGACACGACGTGGCTTCTGTTCACCGTCGAGCAAGCTTCCCTGGGCATCAGAAGCAAGCGCAAAGGCGTGTCAAGCAAAAGTTCATGGACTCGCAGCATGACTTAAGCCGCAGCAAACAAGAAAAGCAACGCAGTTGCAACAACATCACGAGAGAAAGTCATCAAGCAGTTGCTCAAGCAGATACATGACGTTGTCAACAGTGATCGCACAGCAAAGGACGCACAAAATCCATGCTTGGGCAAGCCACCCAACTTACCTGATACACATTGCTAAAATGGCCATGACCAATAACTTGCTCAACGTCGATTGCGTCAGAGTCGAGCAGCTCAAGTGGCACGAAACGCAGTTGGGGATAGGCAGAAGTAAACTCTGCACGAGCTTGGTGCATCAACGCAAGGATTTCACGCTCCATAGCTGTCCGCTCGATGCGACGACGTGTGCCTGGTAGCAAAGTGTATGCAATCAGGGTGATGATTGCCAGCAACGAGACCGACACCGCCACCGCCACGATCATGACAACGGATGAATCGTTGGTGGACGACTCCGTCAACTCGGAGGTCGAGGCCGCTATTGTTGTGGTTGCAACGACACTGTCAACCTGTGCCGCGTACTGGGCGTCAAATTCTGTAAGCGAAGGTAAGGGGGTGTCCTCGCCAAGCATCGCACTGCTGCCCGTGAGACCAAACAAGCTCCCTTGTACAAGTTGATATCCGACACGAAGTGGCACATCTATGCTGAGATTGCTGGTCGAGCGCAAAGTAACCGCCATCACCACCCATGGCTTGGGGCGCTCCGGCACTAACACACTAAGGACCCAACAAATCCAGGTTTTGGTGAAGGTCGGACGACAAGAGGTGGTTGCATAGGCACCCACTGGCGAACGAAGCACCGAGGAAGTTGACGCTAAAGAGACTCTTAGTAAAAGTCCATGTCAATCCCAGTATAGTTCAAATCAAACGCCTGCCGGACGTACCGAGCGCTGCTTAAAGCAAAGTGGAGCTCGGCAGCATCCCAATTGCGCATGACGCCATGCCAGGAAAAGCACGAGTGATTGCCGACGCCTTGAGGTACGGTCGATTGGATGACCCCGCGCTGGATTCGAAGCTCCACCTGGTTGATGCAGTCTAGCTCTGGGATATAAGGGAGATTGTCGCTGATCGAGCGCAGTTTCAGAATGCCGTAGCATGAGGCTTCGTCTTCTCCGTTTGAGCAATCATCAACACCATTGCACACTTGAACAATACTAAGAACACTGCCAGAGGCTGGGCACGCCACATTCTGAGCTGGCTTGGGGCAAAAAGGGGCACCTCGATAGGGTGGATTATAGCAGCTGCACTTGATCATGATGAGGGCATCATCACTTTGATTGCCATCACATTGAATATGTGGTGTCACAATCACTAGGCCAGGACGCTTTAGCTCATTGGTATTCATGCTTCTCCACCAAGCATCATAAGGAATGCTGGTGAGGGCAGATTGCTTGGCATTTGCAAAGCTGTACCGAAGGTAGTTGAGTTGGCTGAACTGTGGAAAGAAGCTTTTCGTCAGCTCTGATGGACCAATACGACATTCGAGCTCGACATGCCAAAAAGCAGGAGAAAGTAGGTCGAGACCATAAAGCTGCTGGCAGTCAAGGAACTATCAAGGCCAGATAAACAGGGCTTGAGGGGTCGCCTTTTGCCCATCTTCAATGCAAGCATGCCAAAGCCGCCATTTCAAAAAAGTGCCACCATATAACGCACAACAAGCCTTGAGTAGTTAACGTTTGTGAGGCTCCCGAACGCTGCAATGCTGGTGAGGGCGTCATTGTCCTGTCCAATACAACATGAGACGCAAGCAGTACATATAAACATCGGTTCATAAACCCCCACACGATCCGTGCACCCTATCCGGGGCCTCGCCCATGGAACATACGTATAACTCCAAGTGACCGCCAATATTGGTCAGTCTCACGAGTCCATCGATATTCGTCAGGGCAGAGTTGTCCTAAGAGAAACAGCAGCAAACTCCATGACACACTCACTATACGCGTTTGTCGTCGATTTCCTACCCCTATCAAAACTTTGGCCCTCATCAATGCGGCATACGTAGAACTCCAGTTGGTTGCCAACGCTTGTGAGGCTACCGAGTCCATCAACATTGGCCAGGGCAGAATTGTTCTACAAGGAAAGCATCCAATGACACGTTTGCTGTACACCACGCCACCAATATCCTTCTGAAATGCCCCTTTGCCACACGCATGCCACGTACGTGAAAGAAGAGGCCGTCGCCAACGCTTGCCAGTCTACCTAGCCCATCGACATTCGTCAGGGCAAAATTGTACTGCTCGTCATCACATGAAGCCCAATGAGACGTTTGCAGGAAGCCATCATGTCAGTTTATTCACCCACGCTGCCACACCCGATCTTTGGTCTCTTTGCTGCAACCTACGTAGCACTCCAGTCGGCGGCCAACGATTGTGAGGTTCCCGAGTCCATCTACATTGGCAAGGGCCGAATTGTTCTACAAGGCACAGCAAACCACTCAGTGACACGCTCGTCTCGTCACCAACACGCTGCTAGACCCAGCCATCGGCCTCGCCCGTGTAACGTACGTGAATGAACAGGCCTTCGCCAACGCTTGTGAGTCTTCGTAGCCCATCAAGATTTGTCAGGGCAGAATTGTACTGTCCAACATAGCCCCTAGGCCAATGAGACGTTCGCAGCAGACCATCAAACAGTCCAGTTCATCTCTTCCATGCAACTTACATAGAAGATCAAGTTGCCACCAACGCTGGTCAGGCTCCCGAGAGCATCGACATTAGTCAGGGCAGAATTGTACTACCCAACACAGCATGCATGCCAATTAGACATTCGGCAAGTACTATCATTTTCATTCCGACCACCACGATCGACTGATTGCGTACATGAAAGAACAACTGGCCGCCAACGCTTGCTAGGTTCTCCAGCCCATCGACGTTTGTCAAGACCTTATTATGCTGTTCGTATAGCATCATGAGTCAGTTCAGTCACATGACCCACACCCAGAGTCAGGCCTCTTAAATCCAAGTTACCTGAAAGTGCAACTCGCCGCCAACGCTGGCGAGGCTTCGGAGACCAATGTCGTTCGCCAGGGCCCCATTGTACTGCCCAACACAGCATAGCCGGTGAAACAACCGCAGTATAACCTCACTTTACTTCATTCCCCGCCTCAGGCGACGGGTTGCCATACCAAGCAGAGAAGGTTGCCGCCAACACTCGCTAGGCTCCCCAATCCATCTATATTCATCAGGACATCATTGTGCTGTCCTTGGCAGATTAGAGACTGAAGTATACAACACTCCAGCTCATTTGATACCGTTTTATCCGCGGGCAGTATCCAGATGACGTACATATACAATGAAATGGTCGCCAACGCTTGTGAGTTTTCCAAATCCATCGACACGCGTTAAAACATCATTGTTCTGCCCAACACAGCATCATAGCCGATGAGACATGCGCAGTTCGACCAGCAGGTCGGCTACTCTAACATCATCATTGGTCCGTTCAATGTGACGTACAGCAAGCCTCAAAAGGCCGGCAATGCTCGTCAAGTTCTCAAGCCCATCCACACTGGCAAGGGCAGAATTGTTCTGTCCGACACGAAATCAAAGCCGATGGGATGTTAGCGGTTGACGGCTGTACCAGTTCATTTGCTATAGTCAATCCACGACACGTCCTATTTGACGTACAAAAAAGTCCAAGTCGCCGCCAACGCTCGCCAGGCTTCCGAATCCATCGACACTTGCCAGGGCCTCATTGTACTGCCCAACACAGCGCCATAGCCGCTGAGACGCTCGCACACCCGCATGACCCAATCCACATTGGCTCAATGTGACGTACATAGAAGAACAGGCTGCCGCCGACGCTAGCTAGGCTCCCAATCCCATCAACATTGGTGAGAGCCGCATTGTTCTGTCCGACATGGCATCGTAGCCAATGAGAGGCGCGCAGTGCATCGTCATCCTAGTTTACCGCCACCATTCAGTCGAAAGGCTCTCATGATGATATGACGTACATAAAAGTTGAAGATGCCGCCTATGTTTGCTAGGCCCTCTAGCCCATCCACACGGGTCAATGCGGAATTGTTCTATCACGGCATCAGAGGCGATTGAGACGCTCGCAGTAGACCGTCCTTTCCCCGCCCGCCAGTCCACAAATTGTTCAGCATGACGAACAACAAGCCTCAAGTCGCCGCCAACGCTCGCTAGACTCCGAAGCCCATCCACATGGGCGAGGGCAATATTGTTCTGTCCGACACAGCACCAGAGCCGGTAAGACGCTCGCAGAAAACGATCATTCAGGTTCATTCACCACCACACGATTCACAACTCGTCCGTTTTGGGCATACAATAAGCCTCAAGTGACCGCCAACGCTTGTAAGGCTCCCAAGTCCATCCACATGAGCCAGGGCTAGATTATTCTATTGACAGAGAATCATCGCCATGCGACGCCGCACGGTACATCATGATTCTAGCTCATACATGCATACCCCAATCCAGGCAAGTCGTTCAATATGACTGACCAATACATCCACGTTGCCGCCAACGCTTGCTAGGCTCCCAAGTCCGTCGACATTGGTTAAGGCTGGATTGTCCTGTGCGACACACCATCATAGCTGATGAGCTGCCCCCAATGCCCCGTGATTCCAGTTGACGTCGTCGGTGATGAGATGTCCAACTCACACTGATGCGGAGAACACCGCTCACTTCAACGAGCTGGTCGAACACATTCAGATCCGCGGCCGTCAAGACATCACATGAGAGCAAGATGATGTCGCCGACAACACGCGTCACCTCTGCGGGCACCGTCAGCCGACACCCAACGGTCCCCGTGTACGACACGGCTTCCTCCGTGGGCGCGCTCGTGCCGTTGGCCGCCAAAGTCGTCAGCTCCGACACATTGCCAGCAAAAGTCGGTGGCTCATCCTCGGCGCCAGTGGCATGCACCACCACTGGCGCCAGCACCACAACCAGACCGCACACAACCCAGCGCATCATCACCATCACCATCATGGCGACGTGCGTCCAAAAAAAAAAAAAAAAAAATGAAAAAAAAAAATCAATTTTGAAGGAGTTTGTCTTAAAGGGTCTAACATGTAAAGGGTAAAAAGGTTAGTGTGTAAAGGGTTTTGTGTGTAAAGTACTTTGTAAAGGCTGTAAAGGCGTAGGGAAGGAATGTCTTGACAAGACGGTGGGTTGAGAATTGTCCGCAATTGGGCGAAGCTGCACTGGGATCGCGAGATGAAGAGCGCACGTCCTCGCGTGTGTGTTTGTGTGTGTGGGTGTGTGGGTGGGTGTGTGTGATGGAGACGGAGGGACGGACGGAGCGGAACAGAGCGACAGAGAGACAGAGGAACAGGGTTACAGCGAGTGAGTCAGTGGGCAAAGATCCGAGTCACGCGCTGATAGACGATGAGGTTTCAACAAGGATCACATTCACAGGAGATGCGCTTTTTTTTTTTTTAATCCATGCCATTTGCCGCTTGGGTGCTGCAACGCATTGGCATGAAGCGGCACTATGGCCTTCGTCAAGTTGAGAAAGTACATGGTTCTCGCCAGCTTCATGGACGCTAAAGCAGTATGATGACTCGCAGATTTCTTTTTTTTTTTTTCTTAATTTCACGTGTGTGGCACCACGCAGCTCGAGTTGGTATCAAGGATTGAGCACACAAAACACAGCAGCGGCACGGCACAACCAATAAGGTGACAGGACAGAGAAAGGATATCAAAACAAGAGTAGCTCATAGGAGCAGCGACGACCCCGGCTCAGCCGGTGACTAGGGTGGTGTTGGTGGAGATGGCGTTGACGTCAAAGGCAATGGCGTTGACGTCCACGTCGTTGTTGACGATGATGAGGTCGCCGGTGACGCTGAGGAGGCTGCCGAGCGCATCCACGTTGGTCAGTGTGGGATTGTTGTAAACCACGAGCTGGCCCGCTGTCTCCAGGCTCTCGAGGCCATCCAAGGTGGTCATGTATTCGTTGCTGTCAATCTCCAGGCTGTCAATGTGCGTGACTGCGCCAAAGAGCGACATGTCAGAAAAGAGCGTATCAAAGATGCTCACATAGCCCAGTCCCGCCGGGATCTGGCCCTGGTAATTGGTGGACTCGTCAAAGTAGAGAGCGGCTGCGTATGTCACCGTGTCCAAAAGTCCAGAGCTGAAGCCATCGCCACAATATTCGAGAAGGACTAGAGGGCTGTAGAGGTGAGTGACGCCATCAAGCATCGCCTTGACGTCACTGGCGGTCGACACGTTGCAGATCAAGTCATCGCCGTCGTAGCCGGTGCACATGTAGTCTGTGTAGCCTGGGTTACAGGCGCAAGACAGGCTACCAGCCGGCACCGTGCCAAAACCGCCACAAGTAGACCACGGCACGCTGACGCTGGCGCCGTCAGCAATCTCGACCGTCTCCACCAAATGCGACCAAAGAGCTTCGCAGTCTGCGCACGCATCAATGCTCAGAGCTGGGGCAAAGTTCTGACCGAGCAGGAGCACCGGCTCGGCGCCGTTGAGGGCTGAAAAGTTGGTCAAAAGATCCAATGAGGCGATGGAGAGCGAACCAATGCGCGCCACATTCTCAAGGCCGGCAAACGAGGTCAGCACAGGGCACACGATGATCTCGAGCGCCCCGTCGATGGTGGTCAGCGCGGCAAGTCCCGAGAAATTGGTGAGCTGGTCATTGTTCTGGATGCTCAGCGAGCCCACCGTCTCAAGTTTGGGCAGCCAATCGATGCTGGTTGCAGGGACAGACTCAATGTGCACAGTTGAGACAGACTTCAAACTTGGAAAGCCTGGCTCGACAATGGGCATGCCGAAAGAGTTGACAAACAGGCTGCCTTCGATGCTGGTGAGGTAGGGCAGGTGAAGGTAGGATGTCTCGAGGCACGTATCAGTCAGGTGAATGTCGCCAATCACGTGGCGCACGTTGGCTAGGGTCTGGTTGAGGGTCTCGGCTTGGGCAAAGTCCGTGCAGAAAAAGTCACCGGTGATGGTGTCGCACAGCTCGCCCGAATACTCGGGCGAGGCGCAGGTGCACTCGGTCTCGGGAAAGCCCGAATGATAGCCATTCTGGCATATGAGCTGAAATTCAACAGAGGTGCTGACCGTGCCGGTGCGCTCGATAATGGTGGGGTTGAAGGCCAGCACGTTGCGGAGGTCCTCGTTGTCCATAATTTCGACAAAGCCCAGAGTGACGGTTTGAACGCCGGCAAAGTCGTCAAGAGTCTCAAAGCCAGTCCCGCGAAGGAACAGACCGTGCTCGCCGATAGAGGACAGGTGAGGCATGCCCAGACCCTTGAGAGCCGGACTGCCACGGATGTAAAGTCCACCAAGGTGCTCCACAAGCACATCGTTGAGGTAGCGGGCCGGGAGGTCGAGCAAAAAGGCGCCGGGCATGGTGCGCAGGTGGGAGAAGAGAGTAATGTCATCGCATCCTTCAAAGCATTCGTAGAGGCTGCGCCCAAAAGACACTAGCATCATCGAGATCCGAGGGGCGGTGGAGCGATTGACAAAGTCCTCCACGTAGTTGGGTGTAAGAAAGTTTTGCACCTTGCTCAGTGGGCATGAGCCGATCGAGGTAAGTTCGGAAAAGACGGTGCGGCCAACGAGCTGGATTCGGGGGATGTAGGCCATGGCCACGCAGCCCGTGACAGTCTGCCAATGGTTCTCGGGCCAGTCTCCAGTAAATTGCTCAAGATACTCTTGGTCGTAGATAAAGGCGCTGCCATCGATCGTGGTAAGTTGGTTGGCTGCAATGATGGCCTCGGCCACGATGCAGTAACGCTTCATGATGAGATCGCCCCGAAGCGTGGTGACACCTTCAAGGGCTGCAACAAAGAGAGGCACATCGCTCGTTTGTGAACACTCAATGTCGCCCACGTAGACGCTACACGGAACAGAGATGGGGATGAATGTGCGCAAGTGTGGGGAAAGCAGCGCCTGGGCTAGGCAGTGTGCGCAACATATTGTGGGGCACTTACTCGCAGGCCGGGCCCTCATAGCCGCTGTCGCACAGGCAGGTTTTGGTTTTCGTGACATTGTCAATGACGCTAACCCCGTGTGTCGTACACCGGGGCAGCAAATAGTCCTTGACGGCTTCCAGAACTACAATTTCATGGCCGTTATCCGGTACACCAATGAGGATGGGAAGCAAGCCAGGCGGCTCCGTGATGGAGAGCCAGGGGCACCAGGTGTTTGAAAGCGGCTCGTACCGTCATTGTCAAAGGACTGAGAGGCTACGGTGGGGACGGTGAGCAGCGCCGCAAGGGCGGCAATGGCGATGTGGCGCAGCATGATACTAGAGCTTGATGTTTGGTCGCTGTAACACGGCAGTGGCACACGCGCAGCAGGCGGTGCTGGTGGCAGTGGACGTATTGGTGTGGCACTCGAGGTCGGATGCGGTGGTCGATGGTGGTCACTCGAGATCGAGAAAAATGAGCTGTCTGATCAAGACGCTGCACTTGTATCAAACCATGGACGGTGGGTGGGGAAGCAGGGTACGGAGGTGGAAGGGTGCAGTGCAACAGAAGCAAAGGGCTTGAGCTTTGGCTGCAGATGGCACTTGGAAGCAGTGGATGCTGTCATTGTGCACCGTGGCGAGATGAAATGTGGCCAGATCATGGCTTGCTGCTCTCGTGAGGCCCTCGTGGTTTGAGATCTTGCTCGAGAGGATACTTCAAGAGCAATGCTCATGAGTAGTACAGTGCTCATGAGTAGTACAGTGCTCATGAGTAGTACAATGCTCATGAGATGTGCGCTGCCAGGTTGCTTTGAAGGAAAAAGGGACACCAGCAGGACCAAGGTCAGGGCTACGGAGTGAATACGGTGGTTGTCAAATAGCATGACATGCCTCTTTGTTCTCGTAAGCACACTTCCAAAAATAGAATCGAAAGCAAAAACTGTGTGTGTCAGGTGCTGTTGCTTTTAACTTTATGAAGGATACTTTGATATTGTTGTATTTGATGGCCATATTAACACTAGTATGTTAAGGAGGCTTTTGTAGATGATAATTGATTAAACGAGGTAAACATCAGCGGCCGTCAGGGAGCCATGGGAAAAAAAAGCATGACGCCTGGAAGCATGCTTGCGTCTGGAAAAGAGAAGGAGACCCAATGGGTGGTGCTGCAGGTGTGGGTCTTGCCTGGTTTACTCGTGAGCATTGCTTGAAAGGCTCTGCTGTCATCATGCGCCTCCCTAATGTTACGCAAGAAGAACACCGCCCATGCCCCCTTCCACAGCAAACTGGGGCAAACCCAAAGTTTCTCCATTAGTTAGAATAAGATAAAACGCCTCTCTCACACTGGTTGACTCTCCATGCTCAATCCAGGGAGTTTTGAAGACTCTTTGCAAATTGAGACAGCACGACATGCGAGCGGCCCTTGAAATTGAGCTTTCACGCAAGGCCAACCACACTTGCATGCGAGACCAACGGGCTATTGTGGCACGCATCTTTGTGGGCTTATTGCCGCAGCGCCCGTAACGATAAGAAGGTTGAAGTAAATTACAAATGGCGTACAAGAAGAATGCAAATGAAAGCACTTGTAACATGAAGAGGAATAGATGGAAGAATAGGGTGTGAGCCGGAGCTGAAGACGCAGACAAAGACATAGGCCGAAGCTTCAAAGACAAAGACAGAGAAGGATGGAATAAAAATTGGAGACCAGATCAGGGCAGACGTCGGCAGACAACTTGACAAGAGGCAAGAGGCTGAGCGAAACAGTCACCATGCTCGCTGTCTGGTGTAGTGCGGCCGACAGTGCACAGAGCAGCCGTTATGGGCAAGTGGTACACGGGGAGCTGGATATCTTTTGACAAGTGCCAAGCGTGTGCAGGACACTGGGCACACTTGAAACGTCGAGAATCGCATTGGAGCAAACACGAACGTATTCAGCTACGGATGTTAAGCCGCTGAGTCCATTGATATCAGACAACATGGCATTATACTATTGATGGCGACACATTGTGTGAGTGGGAGGGTTCATAATCCGCATCCCTACCTGAAATCATGTTATCAGGCCCATGCTGCCTTGCCCCGTTATGTCCCCTCTGAACGAAACACGCAGACAAACCTGGATTGAAAGAGTCGAGCCGACGGCAGTGAGGCTGTTGAAGCCATTGAGGTTGGTTAAAACCGAGTTCGACTACAATCAACCACAGCAAGGGCATGTATTGAGCAAGACGTGGTGCTAGGTTTTGGACCCAAACGCCTCAAGGAGAGGTACGCACGGCAATGTATACATATGAACCAGTGCTGGAGAGATTTCCAAGGCCATCGATGTTCGCCAGCTTGAAATTGCTCTGGAGTCAATCGGCGTTGGGGTGAGACCTGCAGCCCCGAGTCAAACGAGCCAGACGAAAGGCCAAACACAAGTACACTCACATAGATTTGTAAGCTTTCACCGATGGTCACCACCTTGCCAAGGCCGTCAATATCCAACAACTCCGGATTGAGCTGCTCAGAGAGCACGTCATCAAAAACCACACATGTGGTGAGAGGGCAAAGCGTTTGTTGTTGGCACATGGACGCACAGCAAGGATTCAAAGGCCGCACAAGGACGTCACGCGCAGCACGCAAGAGCTTGACGTCAACGTACGGCAATGACGAGATCGCCGGTGACATTTGCAATGTTGCGCAGGCCTCTAATTTGAGTCAGAGCGCTATTGTACTACGAATCATGCAGATGCGAGCGCAGCAGATCGGAACATCGTCAGGCCAAGTGCGCAGCAAGCATGACCAATGCCGTCGTGAGCAGAGCATGTCTCGGACCACTGACATTAATGGTCATGTCATGGATGGCAACGAGATGACTAAGACCGTCCAGATTGGCCAACATGGCATTATTCTACGGTCGAGCAACAGTCAAGGGGCGCAGAAAATTTGCAGGTGGGGGTAAATACCACCGGATAAACGAATTGTCGAGCACAAAGATGACGATCGGCGACCATCATCCAAAGGGTGCGTAGTTGTGAAGAGCTGACAGGCGCAAGCGACCACAAAGCCACAGCCGTACGTAAAAGTAAAGGTAGTTGGGAACAGTGGTAATGCTGCTGAGGCCATCGACATTTGTCAGTTTGGAGTTGAACTATTTCACGAGCCAAAGGAGGTGTTAGGCATCATGTTGCAATGTGGGCCGTTTGCGTCGCGCTTGATTTTTGCGACGATCACGCGGCGCGCCAGACAAACGCATGGGGCGCAACTGCCGGGGCCACGTACGGTGATGATGAGATCGTGGCCGATGCTCGCTACATTGCTCAAGCCGTTAATGTTGCTCAAATTGGCGTTGCCCTATTACAAAGACCAGAATGAGCCGAGGGATTCACGCGCGTGCGTGCCCAAGGGCAAGGATTTGATGGCAGATAGTGCCCTCAATCCTCTTCTCTGATGTTGACGTTGCAAGCAACGTACGGTGATGCGAAGGTCACCATCCACCATGGTCAGGCTCGCAAACGCATCAATGTTGGTCAGCAAGGGGTTATCCTGGGGGCCAAGGCCAAGAGCGATGAAGAAGTCATGAAGTACGAGATCAGCAAGCCAGCACCTCTCTCGCCTCTTGTTGGACGAGCTGACTGCTGGATTTTTCCCAGGTCATGTTCCTGGCTTTGGACCACGCGCCGAGCGGGTTGGGGGTTGACAACCTACCATGACACGAAAAAGACCAGTGACGCGCTGGAGGTTGCTAAAGACGAGCAAATCTGTTGCCGTCAGCGACTGGCACTTAAAGAGGTCAAGATCACCGTCGATCGTGGTCACGCTAGACGGAACAGAGGTCAGATTACAACCAATAGAGTTGGGGTGGACGATGGGCCCCTGTGTTGTGGTTGTGACGGGTTCGAGCACGGCCACGAGCTGTTTCAGGTCTTGCAGCTCGCGAAGGAAATTGACGCCATTGATCCAAATGCGGCTCGTGCCTGCGGCGCGGATGTAGAGGTTACCGCTGTGATCGGTTGTGATCGAGTCGCGCGAGCTTGTATCGCCCACTGTTGCACAGGTGGACGGCGCGTCCGTCGTAGCAGGTCCGACGGACGATCCAGCCGCCTGCACGGCGGCAGCGGCCTGCTGAAGCGCGGCCAGCTCGGCCAACAAATCGATGCCGTTGAAAAAAATACTTTGCGCGTGTGAGCTATTCAAGACGAGATCGCCGCACTGGTTGACAACAATCGCGGGCTTGACAGCAAACGTTTCCGCCGGCCGGATCTCCAAATCATTCACCTGGCCCCCCAAAGCGACGATGGTCTGGCGCGCCCAATCGAGCGCCTCCACCACGTCGACCCCGTTCAAGAAAACGCTCGCCCCATCCACTTCCTGCGAACTGTTGATCCACAGATTGCCATTCCCATCCGAATGCATCACAGGGTGCCCCCACGCCCCCACCATCACCGCAGCAAAGACCACCCCCCAGCCCATGACCGCCCCGCCGCGACGACGCATCTCGCTCGTGTGTGTGTGTGTGTGTGTGTGTGTGTGTGTGTGTGTGTGTGTGTGTGTGTGTGTGTGTGTGTGTGTGTGTGTGTGTGTGTGTGTGTGTGTGTGTGTGTGTGTGTGTGTGTGTGTGTGTGTGTGTGTGATCCAAAATCAGACGAAATACCACATTCGTGTGTCAAGGACAGACCAACAAAAAAATTCGATAAAATTTACATCCGGATGTTAATTGTTTGATAAGGGAGAAAGATTAGGCGGAAACAGTACAACTACCACATGTAATCACTAAAAAGAAGAAAGAAAGAAGGTGGTAGAGATAAAAGGAAAGAGAGTGAGCGACAAGGGAACGCAAAGGAAAAGTTACTACATGTAACAGCAGAAAAAGCAGATCTATCACCGTTTGGAAAAGTGGGCCACAGGGCACACAAATGAATGAGGGGAAAAAAAGGACAGCCAAGTTCCTAGGGAAGAGAAAGCAGAAGAAGGGGAGAGGAGAGGAGGAGATGAGGGATTGAGGCAGAATCGGTGGCGAAGGAACGGTGCCAGATCACATCGCAAACACGCAAGGGCTCTGCTTCTCCCTCTCCCTCTCCCTCTCCCTCTCCCTCTCCCTCTCTCGTATCTCTCCCGTATCTCTCTCGTATCTCTCTCTCTCCCTAACCCTCACTTATCCTTCTTTCTCTGTCTTTTCTCCCTTTCTCTCCATACAATCCCACACACACACACCAAAAAAAAAAGTCGTAATGTTGAGTAAGGCAAATGTCCATTGTCATCAAAATCGACTTAATGAGGAAAAGCAGTGCTGTCGTAGTCAAAGGGCAGTGTCGTAGTCGGGTAGCTGTGTCGTCGTCGGGTAGCTGGGCTGGCTAGACGGCTTGGCATATGGGTAGCTCTGGATCGGTGTCCTTCTTCTAGCGGGTTGGGCCTGCGTGTATCTTGAGTTGGTTATTGTTTCCCACAGGTTCTGCCGCGCTCGGCACGCGCCGTTCAGCAAAACTCCGTGCACACATCAATACCCCACTCTCGGATGTCTGTCAGACCACCCCAGGGCCCATAATTGATCGAAATGACAGCCATGACCATACAATCAGCGTGTGCGCGCGCGAGTCAAAAACAGCCGGATCTCACATTAAAACATTGATCTACATGTTAATAAAGAATCTTTCTCAATTACATGTAATTGTTCGGGGCGGGTGATGACGGCACAACCGCATCCTGTCCCCGATAACAGCAAAAAATTAAACAGGCATTCATGTATGATACGACAAACAAGAACTACATACAACGACGACCAGTTAGTCAGTCAAGCTTGAAGCTGCTCAGGTTAAACAAAAAGCTAGCAGGGAAACGCGCAGCGCGCGCACTCGTGCAAAACTCCATGCATCACAGACAATGAAAGCCAAGGACATTGAACACGTACATGGAAAACATCACAACGACAAGCGAGCTAAAGAAAACCTTACACATCAAACAGAACATAATGACCTCTCTGAGGACCTTCTCTAACCATGTTGAACGCGACCTTTTGTAGATGGTCTTCATCATTGAGCATGTCGTCCAAATCGTCCTCCGCCTCGCTCATCACTTCGTGACGGCCCTGATTTTGCGCAGTGATCTCCTCCTCATCGAGAAAAACAGACGACTGATCGTCCTCCGCCTCGCTCATCACTTCGTGACGGCCCTGATTTCGCGCGGCAATGCTGCCCACATCCTCAGCGGCAATTTCCACACCAGCGTGTTCGTGCACCTGATCGTCAGCACGACAGTCCTGGTCAAACACAGGCTCTCGCGGCATCGCATCGGCGATCTGAGCCCGATTGCGAGCTTGAACGAGCTGCCGTTCAGCTTGTTGTATCTCATCCCTCCCCTGACCGGGCAGACCCCCACGCTCCATGTTCGCGTTGACGAAGAGAGAAGAAGGCAGCGTCCGCGCAGTCAGTGGCGAGCCGCGAGGATCAAAATGTTTTTCGTTGTCGTCAGAAAAGCCGACGCCTCTCCTATCGTGAAAAACGGTTGTTGTGAACATATGCTGGTTTCAGGGTTTTGGACATTTTTCGTTCGAACAAAATCAGCGGCAACCCGAAACATGAGTGACGCCGCAGCACTTTGGCGCGCTTGCAACGCAAGTGATTCTGCAGACGCGCTTCGGTTGTTGAACACATGGCCCCCGCCACGCATGCGCGCTGCTGCGACACAACGTTCCCAGGTACAAACGCGCACCGCATGACTGGCTCGTCTGTGAAGAGAATCTCTGCTGACTTTCGCGCTCTGCTTCTATAGGATGGTTGGACCGCACTCCATTGCGCCACAATCAGGGGCTATTCTGAGGTCGTCCAGCTCCTGCTGAACCATGGTGCCCCCATCAATGCGCTTATTCTGGCGGTATGCACCTATCCATTACCCGTCCATGACCATGCGCAAAAATCGTGAGCTCAATGCTGAGCCTCCTTGCTGTGCATAGGACAAGCGCACACCACTGCACTATGCTTGCGAGACGGGGGACTCAGACATGGTTCGCGTTTTACTATCTCACAAGCCTCAAGTGAATGCACAATTGGAGGTATGCTCGAGCAATCGCACACGCGCTGTGAGCGCATATCGTTTTTCAGCCCTGGGCTTGAATCACATGACTCGCATCTGCCCTGCACCTAGGACGGTCGTACACCGCTGCATCTGGCAGCCACAGGTGGCTATGATCAGATTGCAAAGCGCCTAGCCGAAGCGCAGGATACGAATTTGTCTCTCCGTGATAACGTAGGCACGTGGGCTTGCAACCAGACGCTCTGCCTTCAAACGTAGCGCCTCACTGTTCTGCCTTACATTTGCAGAACGGCATGACGGCACTGCACCTCGCCAGCAGAACTGGGCACATTGCCGTGGTTGACACACTGCTGAAATTTGGAGCTGACCCAACCCTAAAAAGTCACGTGAGTTGCCTTCAATACATTTTTCGCGTGGCCCTTCCTCGCCAACAAACCCGCATCGAGTCACTTCACTTGGCATGCTCAGGAGGGCGAGTCGGCTTTGCACTTGGCTTGCCAAGATGGGTCTCTGGATCTCGTGGATCTTTTGCTCGAGCAACCTGGAGTCGATGTTAATGCCTCGACAAATGTACGTTCGCCTTTGTATATCAGGTTACAGGTTTGTCTTTGCGATCACGCTCAACCTTTTTTTTTTTTTTTTTTTTTTTTTTTTTTTTTTTTTTTTTTCTTGGTACCATTATCAAGGGTGGGTGGACACCGTTGCACTTGGCATGCAGCTTTGGGCACAAAGACTTGGTCGAAAGGTTGCTGACCGAATATAAAGCAAACATCAACGCGAAGACCAATGTGAGTTCCGAGTGGTTGTTTGCTTGCGCTCACTTCGCTTGCCGCTCACACCGTTTTTTTTTTCCCTTAAATTAAAACTCAATACTAGAATGGCTACACGCCTTTGCATTGGGCATGTACTCGTGGCCATTTGCTCGTCGTGGAAGCCCTAGTGGCGCATGCTGCCGATGTGTCTGCAAAGACCTTCGTAAGCTTTGCCTCTTTTCGCTTTGCTGCCATGATCGTTTTGGGCGCCCCTGTTCTCAACCTGCGATCATGCTTGTGTGTTTTAGTCTATTGTAACAGTGTTGCACGAAGCCTGCGGAAACGGACATGTAGCGGTTGCAGAATTCTTGCTGAAAGACAAGCGGGTCGTCATCGACGCAACAACCGCCGTGCGTCTGTTATCTGATGCAGTTGATGGGCCACATCTTCTCACCCATCTCTTCAACAATCTCATTTGGAATGAGTACGCCTGTCGCAATTTTGCAGGGTGGCTACACAGCACTCCACTGGGCCTGCATGGAAAACCACGAGGATGTTGCTCTTTTGCTTTTGAGAATGAAGGCCGATGCAAACGCCCGAACTGACGTAAGTTGCGCTCCGAACCACGTTTTGACCGGTGCGGGACATCATATGCTGCGCCGTGTTCTCTTCATTGTCTCGGATTTCAATTGGGTTTGATTGTTTCTAGGATGGCCAGACGCCACTGCACCAGGCCTGTTTGAAAGGCAATGTGAAGCCAGTGGACATGCTGTTGCGGCATGGTGCCGATTCAGAAGCCCAAAACAATGTTTGTTTGGCTGCCCCCCCCCCCCGTTAATGTATCCAACCTTTTGGCATCCACCCCATGTTGCCGTCGACATAGCTGTCCTCATGATTATCGAGACACAATTCTGCCTGCCGTTGTGTGTGTCTCTGAACCTCTAGGATGGTTTGACACCCCTCCACATCGCCTGTCAAAATGGTCTTGTGGAAGTGGTAGAGATTCTATTAAACCACAGTGCTGATACTAAAGCCAAGACCCACGTCAGTACCCGCTTTTTCCCTTGCACCTCGTCATACTGTCTTTGACCGCTTCCTCTTTCTTCCTTGGCTGCCCTGTGGAGTTTGCACACACAGTGGGTATGTGTGACTCATCACTCATCATGGTACTGTGGGCCATGCTGGTGTAACCGCATGTGTGTCGATGGCCGTGGCTATTGAACCACAGGATGGTGAAACACCATTGCACTTCGCTTGCAGCAGTGGCCATCTGGAGATCGTGACAAAGCTGTTAGCGCATGGCGCTCATGCTGACATCAAAAACATCGTCAGTGCCCTTTCCCCCCTCCTGCTTCTCCCCCCTCCTGCTTGGCCTTGCCGCTCCAGCCCATGTCCCACCCATTGCTTTCCTACCATCTTTTCCTTGCGCACATGCCCCATATTTATCCAAGACCCACCTGTCTTTGAACCTTCTTGTTTCGGCATTTTACCGTTCACGCCCTTTGGGTTCTCCTGCAATTTTTCTTGGTCCACGTTCATAATTGTCTCTTTCCCCGCCTCGTGCTTGGTTCGCGTTTTGCATCACCCGCACACAAAGGCACTTCTACAGTCATTCTACTTAACATGTTGTCCCCTCCTTTGTCTTCAACTGTTTTTTTTTCTCTCTCCTCTGCTCATGCGCTCTAATCTTCTGCTTTTGCCACGTTTTCAGGATGGAGTCACGCCCCTTGATTTGGCACGCCAATCAAAGCTTGCCGACAAGCTGGAGCTCGTGTTTGCTGCCCATGAGGCTCGCCTGGCACAACCACCCGCGCCCCTCGCTCCGCCCACGCCTGCTGCACCGTCTTCCGCCTGGCTGCCACCTTTGCCCAGCTCCGCACCCACCCTCGAGGTGAGCCTGCTCCTTGCTTTCCCCATGCATTTGCTGCCTCGATCCCCCTGCACGGCCTCATCCAACCCAATCACGACCAATGACACCATACAACCCCCATTAGACCACGGCCTCTGTTGTGGTCGCGGTGGACACCTGGCTCAGGCCGCTCTTGCCCGAGCGCAACACCAGCCATCCCCTCCCACACCTCGATGCCTTTATCAGCGGTGCCGCCAAACAAAACCTCAATCTTGCAACGGCAGTTGCTTCAATCCGCAAAACCATCGACGAAGCGCCACCAAAGTTTCCTGTCATGGACTGGGCTGCCTTTCAGGCGACCATTACCCAGGCTCTCGGTGCGCTCGACCAGGCACTGACAGCGGCCGAAGCATTGAACAGCCGCTTGGGTCAATTGGACCCCAACACTCACAACCTTGAATCAGTACTGCAAGAGCTACACGATGTCGCTGCTCGGTTTGAGCTGCAGCCGGTGCTTCTCGAGCTTCAGGACATGCTGGCAGCGTGCTCCGCTCCACCCACCACGCTGACAATGGCACCCGAAACGCCACCCACCGACCTCGGTGCAGCCCTGCACAAAATCGCCATGCTACTCAACGTGGGAGCTGAGCGTCAAGAACTGCTCACAAGCACCAACAGCAACCTCAAGCGCCTGGTGCTGACCTTGATCGATGCCCTGGACGCCGTGGCAAGAGTGGGAACCACCGACACAATTCATCGCGTGGAAACGCTACGGCAATGCGCGCAATGCATGGATACAAATGCACCGCCTCCAGCCGAGGCATTGCCCGAGGCCTGGGAGCAGCTGTGCCAAGCCCACGAAAATCTGGGCCTGCCCGAGCAGAATGGCCTGGAGCAGCTCGCAAACTGGAGGACAGCACATGACTATGAGCATCAGGATTGGTACTTGGCGTTTGTGCACCACGAGTCGCAAGCTCTGTTGCAGCAGTTGCAAGACATGATCGACTGGCAGGCCACGACGCTCTCCGTATTGACCTCGTGCATGAGGCATGTGGACAGCTTGACTCAAGACGTCGATCATGACTCATTTACTGCCCACGAGGAACTGACAAAACTGGAGACCCAGATTCAAGGTATCAACGCAGCAATGCATATCCTGCCCGCAGCTGTTCGCGCTGCACTCCTGCGAGAACTTGTCAACCTGCAAGAGCGACGCGCCATCTTGCGAGAGCAACTATCGGAGCAAACACAGGTGGATCACGCCGCAGAGCTCGCCCAGCTGCTGCATCAATACTTCCCAGCGCTACTGGTCTTTTTGCACCCCGAGCAGAGCACGCTGGGAGCGCGGCTCCGCACTGTGCTTGGGCCCGACGTTCCGACCAGCCTTATCTTGGAGGCTATGACCGAAGTAGACCAGGGTTTGACGCTCTGCAGCCTGGGCCAGCTTGATCTTCATTACAACTCAAATCACAAGGTGTACAAGGCCCGCGCTGCGCTACAAGATTCTAAGGAACAAGACTTGGCCGTCAAGGAGTATGCATTTGCTCGGCAACACAGGCAAGATCAGTGCCGTACCTTTCTTCGCGAGCTTCGTGCTATGCGCCAGCTTGAGCATCCACATATCATCCCTGTCCTCGGCGCGCTCATGGACGTGCGAGACGGCCACCCGAGCGCATATCTGGTACAGCCATGGTGTGCACAGGGTGATTTGCAGCAGTGGCTCAGCACGGCACAGCACCTGGCCACCTCAAC